TGAGAGAGAAAAAGAGAGAAAATTAGGAAAGAAATTTCCTTCCAATTATAGCTATAGATTTTCACATAAAACACTCTAATAGATGGCCCAGGAATATTTTCCAGTGGAGCTATGTCATGATTAGGCTACCATTTAAAGAGGGTGAAAGATATGATAGTAACCAATCTTGTCCTGATTCAAAACTCCATTAAGTTTGCACTGATGTTAAGTTCTGAAGCTTCATTTTATTGCAAATAGCTACATCAAACAGAACAAAAACTTTTGCTGCCTATGTAAAATGATATGTTGGGCAGGGAAGAAAGAAGAACAATTGGTTCAGTGATCGAAAGGTCCATCTTCATTCAGAGAGATCTTTGTAATCAGACCACATTCAGTAACCACAGTCACAGCATGAAGGATGGGTGACAAAATCATGAGAGGCAAAGAAAGAGACTGCTCTGCCAGCTGAAGACACTGAGTAATAATAGGAAAATGACAGGTCTATTAATGATACTGGAAATTCTGGAAACACTTTGGAAGCAAGTAATAAATTTTGGATACAAAAACACCTAAAAAAGCCAGGAATATTCATTTGTCAACACTTTTACAAAAGTAAAGATAACCCAGTCTTTAAAAAAACTGTTGTTACATAAAATATCAAGATATTCTGATATATTTTGCACAGGGAGTGGAATTATGTCCTGGTGGTTACTGCCTGAACTGTGTAGCATGATAGATCTATGATATGATGTCAGATTCAAGAAAAGGGTTTTGATCAGTTAGGGAGATACTGAAGTTGTTACTATCAAAAGGAATGGCAAGAAATTCAAGAAAGTGATTTGGATTGAAATGGTTTCTCCTTGTGCAAATGATCAGTTCATTCCCACTCTACAGAACTGGAACAACAGGACTATAATGCATGCAGTCAAAGGAGTAACAGTTTAGTATAGAGATTATAGTAGATTATAATCCCATGTTAAGCATGTAAATCAGCCAGGTGACTTTGGCTATGTGTTTTTATCCCTGGGTACTAAGAGGCCCTAGGAAGAAGTTATAGCAAAGTCATTTTCAAAAAAATTATCAAGGGTATTGCAGGAACTTGTCACCAAGAGTCAGGGTGCAACTACATCAATTGGAAAAAAGAAAAACAGATGACTAAGCACAATTTTTGGGGTAATCTCCTGAAGGAAAACAGAACATTGTTATTGTTTTTTCCTTAAATTATAATTCAGGACTGGAAATAAATTAGAACACACTATCACTAGAGCAGCCTGGGAAGGTGGACTATTCTCAAAGCATGAGATTCAGCCCTTGAAATAAATTAGGTGGCTTCCTACACAGGTCTCCTTTTCAGCAACTATATCCAACAGCAGGAACTAAAATGTCTTTATGTCCAAGCACTTTCCCCCCATTTCCCCACCCCCATATGTGCTCTGATCTTAGCCAAAATAGGTATTTCTGAAAAACTGACTACAATATAACTATCATTAAAGATAAACCTAGGAAACAATATCTACTTCTTTAGATACACACCTTTCTAGAATCATTTGCAATCCACGCAGACTATTAGGGTGAAATGGAAGTCTCTTATTATGCACTTGATCATAAAAGTTGTCAAGAATAGAATAATACTCTTCAATTGTCAACATTGGCTGAAGCTCTTCAACATAAGTTATTTGTATGCCTCCCAAAAGTTGGCTAATGCGCTCCTCTAGAAACAGCACTTTTTTTTGCAGTGTAGAGTAACTTGGCAACCTCTCAAAAATCTGCACAAAATGAAAGATTTTCTTAAAAGTTCATGACAGAATTAAACACTCCTCCAATTCGCCAAAATAAGCAGTTTTAGAAAATACGTCAGCATTAAACTAATTTTTAAAAAGGTACACACCAGTTTCTAGTTGTTACTATAATGAACATTGTTATATATTCAACACAATTTGCCCAGATATTTTTGTACAATTTTCACTTCTACAAACTTGTTGGAAAAAGCTGGTGTAATTTTTCAAAAGAAATAATATACACAGGGGACACTAGTATTACTATATACAATACTCTACTTGCTATTTTAGTTTATATTATTTGTGCTCCCCAAAATATTAATGTGCAGAAACATGAGAAGTCATACTTGCAATTAACTAAAGTGCTGATGCATATGTCAGCTTTCCTCTGAAGCAAGGGAAGAGTTCAAAAGCCAATCAGAGAATAAATGCATCCCAACATTGCCCCCTTTACCAGTGTTAAGAGACACATTGAAACTAATTCCAAACAAATTATTTTTTTAACATATTAAATGGTAAATATATAGACACTAATTTATCAAACTATTATTAAGATTTCTTAGTGACAATTTTTTGCATCTACTTGGTCTGATTTTTCTTGCTTTCTATAAATAAACAAATATTTCAGAGAGCATTCTGTGCAGGGAATGCCATTGGAATGGAACAGTTATCAAGTTGGAAATGGTTGTTTAGAGGTGAGATTATGTTTTAATGATTATTTGACTATGTGACTATTTTTTATGTATTACCGTGGTGGATAAAAGCCATCTAGAGTGTATAATGAACACAATCTCAGGTAATAAATAAATTAGATGATAGACAGATTAGATTAGATTAGATTAGATTAGATTAGATTAGATTAGGATAGACAGACAGACAGACAGACAGACTGACAGACAGACTGACCGACCCATATGCTGAGTACTAAAAGAAATCCTACTTTGGTCCAATGGTGATGAACGTCCATTGTTCCTAGCATAACATAGCCTGTTGCATTCATTCCTGAGCGGTCTGTAAATATCACTGTTTGTCCTGTTGGAAAGAGAAATCATAGTTCAGGGTGGATATGGGAATGGTCATTTCACAGAAAAGGAAGACATATGCTAGAGAATGAAACTTTCTTGAATACACTGAGATTTTTTTTTTTCCAAAATGGATCAGATGTGTACAGCATATATAAATATAATATCGGCTGATGGGAAGACAGAATAGTATTTCAATCCTCTTTCTCTATGGAGCAGGAGCAAAGATACATTTTTATTCTAGGAGCTGCCATTATTAGGGTAAAGCTAATTGACTCATGGTGTTTTCTGCTATTTCCGAAGTTTGAAAGTTAGCAGAAGAGAAAAACAATTAACATTGATGAGGAATTAGAAGTGGAAATAGAAAGTATAAATGGTGCCATGTGGAAGTGTTCTAAGTTAGGCAAACAGGTTAAGACTATAGTTGTGTTTTCAACGGTTTGAATCACCTTGGAGAGCAAATACGACAGAAAGTCGGCGTTTCCATTTCCCTTCTCATTTCTCTGGGACGAGATGGCGGAGAGTGTGGAGGCTGGAACCCCGGTGTTGGGAGATGGGGCCGAAGCCGCGGCCATGGAGGTGGTTTCAGACGCACCCAGCGAACCTGACCCGCCTGTTGTGAGGCCGAAGGATAGGTCGTCTCAACAAGGGGTGGGGGTGCATGAAGCGCTGGCAGAGGCTGCGGGCGCCAATGGGAAGAAGACGTTGTCGGCGGAGTGGTGGCATAGCCCCACCCTGAAGGGTGTCGGGATAGCCACATCTTCAAAACCCCGTCCGGGAGGTGTTGGCGGGAGCGACACTGGATTGAGGACGATGACGGAGAATGGAGTTACTCTACGGGCCTGGGATCCTCAACGCTTGATATACTGAGGGAGAGATTCAGAGAAGCGAGCTTTCGGGATGCTCCTTCGTGGCAACCGTGGATGGCTGGAACGGAAGCTTCAGCGGCTTGGCGGGGGGGGGGGTGACCTAGAGGCACGGACAGCCGTTTCCATTTGGCTAGCCCGAAACTACGACTAGCTAAAGGCCGGCCCCAGCAAACGGATCAACTGACAGCGACACCAACCACCACATCTATGGGGGGGTGCCCTGAGAGGGTTAGATCAAGAGGAACCCAGACGACAGGGTGTAGTCACTACAGGGTATGACGGGGCCCGGCAGCATGAGGGATCACGAAGGGAGGACAGGAGGGATACAAGGGAGGCCCGTCCTCTACCTATCTGGCCAGCAGCAGGTCTGGGGACCCACTCCGTTACAAACCACATTCGATGGGAGCGCTGACCGTGTGTCCATCTTTTTGAGTCAGGTGCTCAGTTATCTAGATCTCTATGGACACTTATACCCCTCTCAATGGTCTATGGTGGTCGCTATTACGAACATGTTATCAGGGGAGGCCGCAGATTGGGTTGCGGACCTCCCTACCGACCACGCAAGGGAACTAATCGATGTTGGCTTATTTTTAGAAGCATTAAGGAGCCAATTTGAGGATGACACTCGTACCAGGTGGTGGAGGGGGAGTTAGTATCCTTAAAACAAAGGGGGCATCCCATTAGGGAATATATAAAGGAGTTTAGGGCTCTTGCAGGACAGCTTCGATCCTGGCCAGATCGATTGTTAGTGCATCATTTTCGGCTGGGGTTGGATAAAGAAATTAGACAAGCATGTGTTTATAGAGGGTTACCACCTCGTTTAACGGAGTGGTTCAAGGCAGCCATAGACCTGGATGTTGGGTTACGGGAGTTTAGGCCTTGGGGGGGGGAAGGCGACATTACCCAGCAATGACGCCCGGTGGAGAGGCCGCCCATTCCGAGAGCTCCAGGTTGGAACAGTTCTTTTCCCGTGCAACCGGCTGAGTTGGCAGGCCGTGGCACGTTTCGCTGTTTCCGCTGCGACCAACCAGGTCATCAAGCGCTGGACTGCCCTCTACCTCCTGTCCAGACCAGGATGACTACAACTGGGGTGGGTCGCACACCCAGGGGCTGAGCTCGTACAAGTCCAGATCAATCCCAGTTGGCCACTCAAAGTCCACGTGGTGGTCCACATTCCAAACCCCAAGAAGTAAAGAGCCCCGTGGGAACGGAGGAAGGCCCCATAACTACAATTGATGAAGAGGACAGTGATCCAAACGATCCCATGGTAAGTGCACCCGTTTGCCCCTTTGTGATACCAGTTGTCATACGGAACCTGCGTACCTCCCAAGCGAGTCACAGGGGCGCATTGATAGATTCAGGGTGCACTCGATGTTTAATGAGCAGAGCAATAGTCGATGACCTGGGACTACGCAAAGTGCAGTTGAAAACCCCTATACGTTTTGAGCAGATGGATGGGTTGGTGTTAGGCGGGTCTCCATCCAAACACGTTACCGAACCTGTGGAATTACAAATAGGGGAGCACAAAGAAACTATAAGGTTTGTGATCATAGAACGAATGATTGAACCATTTATTTTGGGGTTGGCCTGGCTGGATAAGTGGAAACCCCATATATGGTGAGAAGGGGGTTATCGGAAATTACGACTGGTTCTTGGGTCAAAGACAGAGTCAGAAGAACAGGCCGAGCCAGCCAGAGCCCATGGGGAAGTGTCGGGGAAGTTCCCGGAGGTGTACGAAGACTTGAGGGAGGTGTTTAATGAGGAGGGGGCTGAGGTATTACCCCTCCCCATAGAACCACTGACTGTGCTATCGAATTACTCCCGGGGTTCAAACTACCAAAACTTCGAATGTACAGGATGACACCACCTGAGTTGGAAGAACTCCAGAAATACATAAGATCAGAATTTGGCGAGAGGGTTTATCGAGCCCAGCAGGTCACGGATGGCTGCCCCTGTATTATTCCGGAAAAAGAAAGACGGGAGTCTCCGTCTTTGTGTGGACTTTCGAGATTTGAACGCAGTGTGCGTAGAATACCTATACCCTCTACCGTTAATCAAAGATCTCCTGGTGGTACTGTCTACGGGAAAGATCTTCACAAAACTTGACCTGTGTGAAGCATATTACCATGTCCGTATAAAGCAAAGCGATGAGTGGAAAACCACCTTTAATTGCCCATTAGGCAGTTATAAGTTCAAAGTAATGCCGTTTGGATTACAAGGTGCACCGGCCATATTCATGCAGGTTATTAACAAGGTATTGCATGAGCATCTTTACCGCGGAGTACTGATATATCTAGATGATATTCTGATATACACTAAAACAATGGAGGAACACATGCGATTGGTACGCCAAGTGCTAAACAAATTGCTGGCTGCACGCCTCTTTGTAAAGTTGTCCAAATGCGACTTCCATCGCACCCAGCTAGATTATTTAGGATATCGCATTTCGGGAACTGGGGTGGAAATGGATCCGAACAAAGTAAAAACAGTCCTAGAATGACAAGCCCCTACCACAAGGAAACAACTACAGAGTTTCCTTGGCTTTGCCAACTTTTATAGACAATTTATTCCAGCCTTCGCCCAAGTGGCGTTACCGCTAACGGATCTATTGCGTACCAAACATACTGGTACGAAGGCCAAACCCAGCCAAACGTTAAACTGGACAATCGAGTGTCAGCAAGCTTTTGAACAGCTAAAAAGTCTCTTTGCTCGGGAGCCGGTTTTGAAACACCCTAATCCAGCCCTCATGTTTATTGTGCAGGCGGACGCCAGCGACGTGGCTGTAGGAGCGGTATTACTGCAAAAAGGGGAGGGGGAAGTGCTGTATCCATGTGCCTACACGTCTCGCAAACTAACATCAAGTGAAAGAGCTTGGGCGATCTGGGAGAAAGAGGCCTTCGCCGTTCGCTGGGCATTACTTACGTGGCGGCATCTCTTGGAGGGGAGTGGCACCAAATTTGAAGTATGGACGGACCATAAAAACCTACAGGCTCTCCAGACGCCCAGAAAACTGTCCCCCAAACAGGTGCGCTGGGCACAGTATTTCCAACGATTCAACTTCGACCTGAAATATGTACCAGGAGGGAAAAACTTCCTAGCAGATGCCTTGTCACGTATGCCCCAATTTCATAGCAAAAGAGAGGATATTGTCCAAGCGATGATACCTAAAACCCCAGCCGAACCCTCCTTACAGGCTAAGGACAACGTATGGCAAGAGGATCTGCGTAGTGAAAGAGCGAAAGACTCATGGGCCCAAACTCACAAATCCATATTGACACACCGCAATGGGTTGGCTTGGATGGGGTCTCGGATTTATGTGCCGGGGGCTTTACACCGATCAATATTACGGCGTTGTCACGACTCAAAATTGGGTGGTCATTTCGGGTTCCTTAAAACTCTACATCTAACTAGGCGGCAATTCTGGTGGCCTCAAATGCACAAGGATATTAAACAATGTTAGAGAGTGTTCTATATGTGCAATGACTAAACCAAAGCCCGGTCGACCCTTGGGTCTCTTACAGCCTGTAGCCAATCCTACAGGCCCTTGGGAGGAAATCGCTATGGATTTTATCGTGGAGCTTCCGGAGAGTGATGGAAATACCGTAATTTGGACCACTGACGATCTTTTTTCCAAGCAAGCGCACTTTGTTCCATGTAAAGGATTACCTTCAGCCCAGAAACTCTCAAAGATGTTTGTCCAACACATGTATTGGCTACATGGGGTTCCACAATGTATCATCTAGGATAGGGGGGTTCAATTTACGGCACGGTTCTGGCGTAACTTCATAACCCTGATTGGCTTTTCTCAAGGACTGAGTATAGCCTACCATCCCAGTACTAATGGCGCAGCAGAACGAGCAAACGCAATGGTAGAGCGTTACTTACAGTGCTACGTGTCCTATCAACAATACGATTGGTCAGACCTGTTATCGTTTGCTGAAGTAGCATACAACAACACCCTGCATCGAAGTACCGGAGCATCTCCCTTCAAAATTGTCACTGGAAAGGAGTTCAATGCTATTCCCGAATTAAATGATCCGATTCCGGGACAAATAACCCCAGCTCCAGCTGAATGGAGCACCAATATAAGTAGTGTGGCCGCAGATAAAAGCAGCCCTAAACAAGGCGACTAATGAGTATAAAGTGCAAGCGGACAAGAAACGAGCTGACCATAAACCATTTCAAATAGGGGATCTCATTTACCTGTCTACTAAGTATATAAAGTTGAAAACCCCGTGTAAAAAACTTGGACCCCAATATCTGGGCCCATTCAGGATCCAAAGGGTAATCAATCCAGTTACGGTAATCCTGAAATTACCACATTTGGGAAAAATTCACCCCACTTTTCACTGTAGTTTTTTGAAACCTATAGCAAACGGAGGGGGTACACAGGGTCCAGGTCCTGTAGTGAACGATCACTACGAATTAGATGGCATTCTTGATTCCCAGATCCGTAAGGGTGAGCTTCAATATCTGGTGAAGTGGAAGGGATATCCTTTAGCTGAGGCCTCCTGGGTGGCAGACATGGACCTAAAAGCTCCTAAGCTATTGAAGCATTATCACAAAAACAACCCCCCACAAACCGGGTCCCACAATCTAACCTATCTCTTTCGTGTTTTACAGGTGGACTCCTGGTAGAGGGGGCCGCCTGTCAAGAGTCAAGCTGTCTCGACATAGTGTGGGGAGGGGAGTCTCTGCAGATTCGTTGCTGAAATGGGGACACCCTGACAAACGAAGGAATCCAAGAAGCAGGCTGCTGCAATGATGTCTGGTGGTAGTGGGGGGATGTGACTAATAACCTTAGCTGTGCACGTTGGTGAAGGGCAGGTGGCTGGTGTTAGTCCCATACTCGAAGGCAGATGGTCACCCCGCAGCCGGAGCAGCGTAGGGAGCTGTCACCGGCCGCCGTCCCAAAAAAGGGCGGTACCCGGAAGCAACGCCGATTGGCTAATAGTGCACCCGGCTTATTTTGAGTTTGTATAAAGAGCGTTGGGAGGCAGCCGCTCCCAACGCCGACTTTAAGTTTGTCAATAACGTTCGTGTGTGACTGCTCCAAGAAATGAAAAGTAAACCCGTTTACAACCTCGTTCTTTGCCTACGAGTTGTGTTTTCAACAGTTCAAATCACCTTGGAGAGCAGAATACAACAAAGGTAAATATACTTAGTTATTGGAATTCAAGATAAATTGTTGAGGAAAACTGTGCTTACAGGTGTAAAGAGATGGAGTTTCTTTAGGACAAATATATTACTATAATTTCTATCTTGAAAAAAAAGAGGCAACTTTACTAGATCTGTGTTAATATGCTTTGTATTAAGCTTAATGTTCTGAATTCTTTTGGTTAATGAAATTACAACTAAAGAAAACTGTAATAGGAAAATGTACCTTTAGCATTCTTAGGTGCTTCTGGACTCTGGTGTGCTAAGCGACTTAGGCTATGTAACTGGCTACATCGATGAGCAATACCCCAACTCCTCTGCCATCTAAAAAAACAATTCAAATTTTTATTTATTTGAAAATTTTACAGCCATACATAATTTTTTTTTTATTGAAAAGTTTTACAAAAAAAAAAAAAATACAAAAATTTTCTTCCCCCCCATATTCCCTCCACTCTTTCCCCCCCTCATCCCCCCTCCCCCCAGACTTCCCAGAGCAAAATACAAGGTATTTCATTTAATCAGTCATAAACTAGATTAATCTACTTATCCTCAAAGTACTAACTCCCCCCCTGAAACCTTAACTCCACTATAGATAACCTAATACTTCTAATACTAACATTCATTCATAAGCTATTTGATATTTTCTTGTCTGATACTTATTTTGAATATAATCAATCCATCTTCTCCATTCCGATACATATCTTTCTTGCGTGTGGTCCTTCAAGTACGCTGAGATTTTTACCATTTCTGCTAGGTTTGTTACTTTCAATATCCACTTTTCAATAGTAGGCAAAAAGTCCTTCTTCCAATATTTAGCTACCAACAGCCTAGCTGCTGATATTAAGTTCAAAATCAATTTAGTCTCTGATACTGTACAGTCCGTAGTTATACCCAATAGAAACAATTGAGGAGTAAATTTCAACCTTCTTTTCAAAATGTTCTGCATCACCCACCAATTTTTTATCCAAAATGCCTTGATTTTCTTACAGGTCCACCATATATGATAATAGGTTGCATCATTACATTCACATCTCCAACATTTAGCTTGCAAATTCGAGTACATACATGATAATTTTTTAGGATCTAAGTGCCATCTATAAAACATTTTATAAAAATTCTCAAATTTTGTGCTTGCGTAAATTTAACATTTCTGACCCAAATCTTTTCCGTTTCCATCATCACTGGTTCCTGAAAATTTTGTGCCCATTTTATCATACAATCCTTAACCAATTCTGTTTCTGAATCTATTCCCAATAATGCATTATACAACCTTTTAATATGCATCTGACTTTGATCTCTAATCTGTTTCACCAGATTTTCCTCATTTTGCATAACACCAATTTTTTGATCCTCCCTCCATCTAGCTTGAAGCTGACCATACTGAAACCAAGTATAAATTATCCCTTCTTCTTTTAATTCATCTAGGGATTTCAGTTGCAACTTACCCCTTTCCAAAAGAAGAAGCTCTTTATAAGTAATCACCTCTATTCTTTGCTCTATACTTATATTTTCTATTGCATGTCTGGGATTTGCCCATATAGGTATCTTATAGTTCAGCTTGTATTGGTACTTTTTCCAAACCCTCAACAATGCATTTCTGAGTATATGACCCTTAAACACTTTATCCACTTTTTTTTCATATAACAAATAAGCATGCCATCCATATAACAAATCATAACCTTCTATGTTTAACATTCTTTCTTCAGTTAAGTTAAACCAATCACTAATTTGCGATAAAGCTGCTGCTTCATAATACAATCTTAAGTTAGGCATTTTAAGACCTCCTCTCTCACGTATATCCTGTATAATTTTCAGTTTCACTCTTGGTTTCTTCCCAGCCCAAATGAAAGTATTAACCCCTTTCTGCCATTCCATGAGATTTCCACCTTTTTTAAGCACTGGTATCATTTGGAACAAAAATAAAAACCTAGGTAGTACATTCATTTTTATTGCTGCTATCCTTCCCAGTAGTGATAATTGTAACTTTTTCCAATTTTCCATTTCTTTCTGTACTTTTTGCCAAAGAGTTTCATAATTATTTTTAAACAATTTCGTGTTTGAGACTGCAATATATACTCCTAGATACTTTTTAACTACTTTAAACCCCGTTATTCTCCCTAAATCTTCTCTTTGAGTTATGGACATATTTTTAGTTATCATCTTTGTCTTGTGAAGATTTACTTTAAATCCAGATACTTTGCCATATTGAGCTACTATGTCCAACATATAGGGAGCCGCTTCTATAGGTTGAGATAAAGTAAGAACAAACGCTCTTAGTCTATAATCCTGCTGTCTAATTACAATCCCTTTTATTTTATCAGAATCACATAACTTATTCAACAAAACTTCTAAAGTTAAAATAAACAACAATGGCGACAAGGGACAGCCCTGCCTCGTACCTTTCTCAATTTTAAACATATCTGTTAAACCTCCATTAATTATTATTTGTGCTGTTTGTTCCTGATATATTGCTCTAATTGAATGTATGAAATACTCCCCAAAGGGCATTTTTTCTATTATTTTAAACAGGAATTGCCAGTTCAATCGATCAAATGCTTTCTCTGCATCCAAGAATATGAACGCTGCAGGGACCTGGTTATTTTTTTCCAAATATTCCAATAAGTTTATAATTTGTCTAACATTATATTTCATCTGCCTCCCTTTTATAAAACCTGATTGGTTATTGTGAATAACTTGTTGCATAACTGGCATTAATCTATTCGCTAATATCTTAGCAAAAATTTTATAATCCGTATTCAAAAGTGAAATTGGCCTAAAGTTTTCAGGTTTGATATAGTTTTGATCTTCCTTCGGAATCAGTGAAACAAAAGATGTTCTCCAAGAGGGTGGAACCCCTCCCCCTAATTGAATTTTACAAAATAGAGCTCTAAGCGGCTCTACCATTTCAAGCTGTAAATTCTTATAATAAACAGCTGTTAATCCATCTGTTCCTGGAGCTTTCCCTGTTTTTAACTGCTTAATTGCCACAACGATCTCCTCAGAAGTTATTGGTTGATTCAATCCTTCCCTCTGTTCCAACGTTAATTCCAAAATATTCCCTTCCTTTAAATATCTATGTCTATACCTTGTATTGAGTCACTAGCGTATAACTTTGTATAAAATTCCAAAAAAGCCTTTTTAATCATATTCTGTTGGTAAACTTCCTTACCTCTATATTCTATCTTACTAATGACTCGTGATTTCTGTTTTTTCCTCAGCATGTAGGCCAACCACCTACCAGGTTTATTGGAATTACAAAATGTATTATGTTTAGCATATTGTAAGCTAGTTGCCACCTGATCAGCCATTAACATATTAAATTGCCCTCGTAGTATATTTATTGTTTCTTTTACTTTCTTATCTCCTAGATTAGATATAAGTAATTGTTCTTTCTTTCTTTCTTCCTCTATCTCTTTACGCTTCTTTTGTTGTTTTAGTCTATATTTATTGTTCATATGTATTAAGATATCCCTCATATAAGCCTTGCTAGCATCCCAGACCATTTCCATAGGACTACCCTTATTCATATTAATAACAAAAAATTCTTTCATTTGTTTTTTAAGCTCTTTTACATTTTTTTCATATCTAAATAAGTTTTCATTTAACCTCCAAGACCTCCTTTCTCTCCTCTCCTGTTCAAATTCCACCCAAACCGGATTATGATCAGTTAAAGTTCTTGGACATATCTTCGTCTTCTTCACCCTGGAAATAAAATCATTTGTGGTTAGTATAAAATCAATCCTGGAGAAGGATTGATGTCTATCAGAAAAAAAAGTAAAATCTTTTTCCTCCAGGTTACGTTCTCTCCAGATATCTCTCAGTTCTATATCTTCCATCATATCAAAAAAAGATTTAGGTAGTTTTGCACGTGTTGAGATCTTTGATAAGCTTTTTTTATCTTTCTGCGTGTCAATTACTCCATTCCAATCACCCATTAATATAAAAGATTTATAGTTCCATTGTATTATTTTAGTATGTAAAAATTTATAAAACTTGTCTTGTTGCTGATTAGGGGCATATATTCCAATAAAAAGCATTTTTCCAGTCTGTGTTAGTAATTCAATTGCAATATATCTTCCTTGATCATCTGCCTCAATTAAGTTAGCTGATAGTCCTTTCCTTACATATATGATTAGTCCATTTTTCTTCTCTGACGCTGATGCCACAAAATTTGTACCTAATCTTGAATTTATCAAATATTTTTGGTCTGATAATCTGATATGTGTTTCTTGCAAGCAAATAACATCATTGTTAAATTGTTTCAAGTAGTGAAATACTTTCTTTCTTTTTTGTGGTGAATTTAAGCCATTGACATTCCAAGATAAGAATTTAGTTGCCATCTTTGGCCTTTCAAAGCCTTGTGAGCATCAGCTGAAGCTCCTCCTCCACCTTACTCTTCGGCCTAGCCCCCCCGCACTGTTTCTGTTTTTTGGACTTCTTGAGATAAATCTTGAGATTGTTGCCTTTTTGATTGTTGTTGTTGCAATTTATAAGTTGATCGGGTCAGTCGTTGTACTTTCGGCTCTCCCTTCTTAGGTGGTTCCAAAGTTGGGGGTAAGCCCCCAAGATCCAAATCTTCTTCCATGATAATTCCTCCAGCTGCAACTTCAGCATATGTTTCTATCTGTTTTCCATCTTTTTCTTGTTGTACCATTTCCATTTTCTTTCTCCCCGCCCCAGGTGAGGGTGGGTATCCAGCCTGTAAAACATTTACATAAAAATCTTTTGCCTTCCAAACTGTGTTTAACCGATATCTTTCTCCATTATAAGTCAATATTAGACCAATTGGGACATCCCATCTGTATGCCACTTGTTGATTTCTCAGCTCATTTACCAGGAAGCCAAAGTCTTTTCTACTTCTCAACATCTTTGGAGGAATCTCTTTCAAAACCACCACCTCTTGCCCAGCCACCTGAACTTTATTCTTGTAAGAGGCTTGTAGGATTTCATTTCTGATCCTCCTAGTTGTAAAATAAATCACCACATCTCTTGGCAGCTGTCTTTGTTTTGCCAACCAGGAATTAACCCTGTAAATTTTATCAATTTGGATTGCCACATCTTCTGATCTTTTTTTAATTATCTCTGCCATAGCGTCAGCACAAATGTCTTTTAAATTTTCTTTACTATTTTCCTTCAGGCCTCTCAATCTCAGAGCAAACTCCATGGATCTGTATTGTAACATTACCAATTCATCATCCGCTTTTTCTGTTCTGGTCAT